AGTAGGGGCTCGGTGGCATATGGTAATCGCTCTTTGGAGCTGGAATTTCCGATTAGTAGCTAGTTCGAACGGGTTTCGTTCATGAGGGCATGAATACCGGACTAGTTGTTCAGTTGCAAAGGGAAGTCGTGTGTGGGAGCTAGGATACCAGGCTGGTGGCTCAGTTGCAAGTAAGAAAGGGTTGCACTGCAAGGCCACCGGCTCGGTCGCAAAGGGAAGTCGAGCGTGGGGCCTAGGGTGCCAGGCTGTTGTCTCGGCTGCCAGTAGAAATGGATTGGACTGCGAGGTCACTGGCTCGGTCACAAGATGTACTTGACCAAGGAAGCCGGGATGCCAGACTGTTGATTCGAGATTATATAAAGCTGCCCGTGCGGTTCTTTGACTCGGGGTAAGTTGAGACATTGTGGTGCTTCACACATTGACATCCGTCGCTTCGCTTCTCACCAACCCACTGTAGATTGGACAAGCATCTAAATGTAAAAGTCTAAGACATATAATACTGAGATAGAATTCGACTTATGAGAAAAGTACATGAAGATAGTAAATAAGAAGCGATCTGATTGGGGAAGCTTTCATTATTTCTCTAGTACATGAATTTTCGCTGATCCGAGTTATCCGAGGTAGGTTCCTATACATCAGCCCCTACCCTGCGTCCTAGTGCATCATCGTTAATAATATTACAGTTATGGCCTGTTTCTTTCTCCTTCTGTAAACACAAGCCATCCAAGGTCCGGGTCATCCTCGGCAAAGGCCGATCGGACTCGGTTTATGCAAGGCGTGATAGTCAAGAGAATTCCTGTTTGGTGGTAATTTACTAGACCGCTAGGGTTCCTTATCATAAGATTAGCGAATATACAATTTCAGAATATTATCTGGTTGCAACCATCCTGTTTCTATTGCTTACGTTCAGGGTAGGGTACTACGTAGCAGCCTGGGCCAGGGTGCTGCAGACGGCTGATTCAGATGGGCGAACTTGGTACTGTTCGGTCTACCTACTCTGTACGTGCGGCTGGTCGTACTATGTAAAGACAAATTGAAGGGACCCATATTCGAGATTCCGCCCCACATTATAGACTCAACGACTAAGTTTCCTCGAATCATGGTAGGTGATAGGTCACCCTGGCTAGGGTATCATTCTTTCTTGCCCCTTCCTTCCCTCCCTTTACCCAACAAACGCGGACCTGGTCAAAACCACTGCTGAGAACATTTCACATACAGGTAGAGGAATCGGAATAAATGCCTGTCTCAATAGAAGTTACGAACATCTGATAATTCTTTGCATACATTTCCCATTTTCCACGTATCAATGAACTTGCATGCAATGTTTCAGGACATTGATGCCTTATCTCGTCGCTCAGTCTTTTAATACTGGGGTATGAAATCTCACCAAGGCGATCAACAACCGGAAGAAGGAACGGAGCTACTCCAGGCTCCGCAAGCTCGCTTGCGAGAGCCTGGATCTTTCCACCCCGATTTAGTATAGCTCGTGTACTCTCCTCGTCATAGCGGTATTTAGCCGCAAAGGCACTCTGCATTCCACCACGGAAGCCTTCGCGATAGATATTTTCCCAGAATTTATTATTGTCTTTTCTGGTATCAAAATCTGGGTAATCCTTGAAATACTGCCAGGTCTTCGCTTGGACATCCAGCAAATAACGAAGCTTCTCAGACTTAGGGGTTTTTCTGGAGATTTTACTCGGTGGGTTGCTTGCAAAGATGTCCTCGTATCGATCGCCATTAAGGAAACGAATCATTTGTTGTTCCTCATTGCGCAGGGTATTGATAACCTGCGTAATCGTGTTCCAGTCTTTCCGGAAAGGTGGGTTTAACTCCGTGTTTGGATTAGAGAGATGTGGATCACTGCTGTGCTCCATTGTTCTAAGGCTCTGGTATCCCTGATCCTGGACCGGTAGTACAGGACTGCAAAGTATCTGGAGTCTCTTGTGTTCAGGGATACGTCGTAAGAACGGGGCAACCAATGATTCAAACTCAATGTCGCTTCGCGTAAGGTTTGCCTGGCTGTCGGAGTAGCCCATGCATACGAAATCACACGGGCGTTTACCCGGGCTAAATCGAACCAGTGTGCCTGCCTGGATAACCAAAACCCGGTTATAGCCGACTGAAATTGGTTCCCACCTTGACCCAGACCGATCTGTATCCGGCTGGAACCAATCATATACCCGATGTACATCCCAAGCAAAGGAGCCAGAGCATATTTCAAAGAATCCATTCCCACTACAGAGCTCTTCAGCGAGTGGTCGAAATAGGACAACAAGCCGAGATTTCTTGTCACTGGGAGTACCAATGACAAAGGTCTGCGGCTGAGTGCTCTCACCGTCGTAACGGACAATTCTCGGCTCTATGTAATGTTTATTTTGCTCCTTTCCCAAATAGAAGAGCAGGGACTAGAAATACTCAGTACTCTGTATAGATGTAATACAACATGCAAAAGAGGATAACATACTGAAGCTCCTCGATGCATGTGGTCGCGGACTAAAGTGGAGAATTTTGAATCGGGATTTCGCCATATTGTGAAGTTTCCGATTAACGTTGGTCTTTCCCCATTTTGAGCAGTCCTTAAATCTTTGATGGATTTTTCAGATGGCGATGATACTCCTTCGAGGAAACTATAACCATCTCCCTCCATACTGAGTTGAGTCTAACGTTTTGTATTGTTTTATTACTGTGGAGAGATTCGTTTGGCTCTATTGTGGTGTGAGCGGGGTAGGCACGTGATCTATCATAACATCCAGGAAGTAGGACTGCATAGCACCGGCCAATAGTATATGAGAGGATGATAATGTAGATCAGGAATGATATCTGCTCCATTAAAGCAGGAGACTACAACGATGTGACAGGATAACAGACTACGACGTGACAGGATATCGGACAAAGATTCATTGAACGTTATATGGCCCTCTTATATTACGTATAGCGTATAATTAAGAGTTACACGCTTCCGGCTAAGATGTATACGCCCAGAGCACGGTATGTTGCGCTGTGTTCTCGCGATGGAAGGGCTCAACCCAGTTAAAATCTCCCCTTCTCCCTAGTAACCGTAATTCTCCGGTAAAGATGATGCTGTGTGATTATATCTATTACCTGCTTTGAAGCCAGCGTTTCTTCGTTCAACACGATTACTTATTCTACACATTACCTGCTTCACTTTGTGCTGGTACTACGGACGCCTGGCATCTCGGCTTTCTATATAGAAAGCTTTCCCAAATGCCTCCACAGATGCCAATCCAGGACGTGGCATACTGAATGTATTCGGTTCTTTTGGATTTCTAACAGGGGCTTTTAGCCACAATTGTTTCGTTAAGAGAATGCTTTAGGAAGGTGGGGCTTTCTGTTATTGGGCACAACCTCCCAACTACTCCGTACATACACACATTACCGTTTCTATTATCGGGGGAGAAATTATTTGCCTTCTACACATATCACACCCTTGGTCAGAGCTGTGTAACTCCGCTAGAGTGTGTACAAAGACCGGACCAGGAAAGAAGAGTAGCTGGTAGTAGCCGAAGATATCCTAATCTCAGTTGCGGAGTGAGACACAGTATTAGATTCTAGTTGCTCTGAGCTATTGAATGACGCGAGGCAGCCGTCACCACCTTTGTTACTACTGGTGATCATAAGGGATGTGTACCAAAGTGAAGTGGGCTATTACCCATGATGCCCACCAGGTTAAACCAGATACGAGGAGAGAGATACTTTAGATTTGATAGAACCAAATGTACATACACTGCTGCCAATGGTTCTCCTTCCTAATCCATATACAAAACATAGGCGTATACTCTTACATTCAACCGAGCTGTCTTGTTATACGAGTGTCATGCACTGTATCGATCACCTAAAGGTGCGATCTGCTGAGAAATTGGTATGTGTAATCGAAGATTACAGTTAGGTGGGGCGGTTTCTACGGGATAACCCTCATGAAGTCAGAGCCCACTTGAAGGATCTCCTACAAGAACAAGAAAGGGCCCATATGATTGGTGTGAAACTTATGTTATCTGGTAGGCGAGTCATATCCTCTATATGTCGGTCACCAGGCTAACCATAACAATCTAGGTAACGAAGATCCTGGAAATGGACCGTGATGCGGAGGGCTGTGATTGGTCACTTCCTGGCCGTGATCAGAAATATCATGGGCAGTGGTTCGGACGGCCTTAGCTTGAGTCGGGAAATGGTACAATACAGCAAGGGAGGGACGGAGGGAGGGGATATAACACGCCAAGTAAAATAGCCTGTCATCTGGTGTCATGATTCAAGGATTCCTAGAGGCTGTTGGTCTTATAGCTATTGTGGGGCTATTCTTCGAATAGTATGTGTTTCGTTTCTCGTATATATTACATACGAGCCATATGTACGGAGCAGATACCATCAGGTACTGGTATATCATTCCTGGTCCGCAACGAGCAGCATCGGTGGGGCTGTTCTGGACTTTGCATAGCTGGAGGAGGTAATAATACTGAGGACTACCGCCCTTAAGACCTGGATTTCTTCTATATGCCCCGATCCTGTCCTTGCCCAGGCCTTTATACCTTCATCTTCGATGAGCCATTCAGACTCTTCAGGAACCCATGAGCCTAAGGCTCACTTGGAGATGTAAGAAGTGTCTCATATAAAATTACATGATCTTCTAATAGCAGATCTTCTAGCTATAGCGAACCTATAGGGGATGACTATAAAGAACGGGAAATACGATATGGTCGAGAATATCCTCAGAAACATGGTGACCGACACCCCTGGCCAATCGATGAGGTATACTCTTCTACTTTGGTATTCCTCTCACATCAATCGAACATTGCTGATGATAACAGTACGAAGAATCGCGACAACGTAAGTCTACCTTGCTCTTATTCATGATACCGGTCTGATTCTGAGAAGGCGAGCAAGCCGTTCGACTACAAGAACTAGAGCAGTGGGGACACCAATTTTCGATAACAACACGAACAGGAAATGTGCTTGATCTGAGGACTGGCTTTGGTCTATGGGCAATGCACTTTGGTATGACTCTCATCTTCACAAATCAAGCCTTACAATTAATCTTGGTTATAGCTGACAAGAATCCTGGTTGCCGGGTAAACCGTGATTGATCTCATGTCAGTAAGAACCAAGCTGAATGAAACAGGTTTTTGGCGTTGATTTTGTGTATATGCAGCCTTGGGAGTATGTTTGTGGCATAATGATCTAGTCCTGGATTAATTTATCCATAGGGTACCCTTGAACTGTGATTTTCACATTATTGATCTTACACAACCTGATTGGTGGGAAATATATGTGGACATCAGCCTCGTGCATATCAATGACCTCGGCGGTGACATCTCGCTGCTGAAATGTCTACTGGCTGGAGCATTCAGGTATGTATAGGAGGCTATGTTTATGTTTACATACCCAGCTAACCAAAGTTGATTACAGATGCTGTATGCCATGTGGAGTGGTAGAGCTCCACGGAATCACACTCGATCTTTACAACCGAAAAGGCCCGGCGTATAGTTTCTACAAAGATCTACAGACAGCCTACTATAAAGATGAAAGACAGCTCAGTTTACCTGAACGGTATGGCAGTGAACTATCAAATCATGGCTTTATCAATGTGGCTTCGCATCAGTATAGGATCCCTTTAAAGTCGGAATACTCTACCCATTTACAAAAGAGGTTCCTAAAGACCTGGCTCGATGGTCTAGAGGCACTCGCCCTTGATTTGATGACGAAACATCTGGGATGGACACGCGAAAGAACATTACTTGAATGCGCATTGGCACGTGAGGAGCTTCACAATGGAACCGATGGATTCCTAACTATGTAAGTACCCCCTCTTACGGTCACTTCTCATATCAACTGAAGATAAGCCTGGACAGATGGAATGTACATGGGTCGCGGCCATAGATCGTGATGTCAGCCTCTGAGGGCTCCAGGCCGGGTATTTTCGATCATGAAAGTGGTGCGATAGAAGTATTTACGGCCACAACTTGTTGCATCATCTTGTTCATGGCAGTTTCGATGTTTAGTTTGTTTGATGAGCTATGCAATATCGCTGTTCTGCAATCCCTATTTCGGGTTCCAGGCATTATTTCTGTTGAAGTGTCATACCTGGCAAATTATAAAACTCATTCTGCAGAAGAGTTATTGTTACTTATATAACATCTATATGGACCTTGAATGTGGCGCATGCAACGTATTTCCGAGTACAGAAGATCCATCCACCGGGAGCGGCGCACAGGAGCAGTGTTCCCATCTCACATCTTTCTAGTCCACCTAACCGTCGAAATATTTGCGATTCGAGTGCACCCTAGAACTTAGTACGGTTGCACCTTTCATGTCCATCTTGCCACTAGCTCCGCGGAACGGGAAGATTTGCTACTCATTACTCTCAGCAGCACTTATCTTTAACCATGGACAGTGCACCTAATCGACCTCTCATGGATGATCAAAAGGAGAATCTCCCTATCGCTCTTGCTGTAATAATACGAACGTACACTCACTACCAGGTCTCTACGAACCTCCAAGGTCATTGTTTTATCTCACTCAAAAAGAGCCATAATACTATTTCAATGGTGCCAAGTGGTGTGAGCTTCTCTTCCTTGGCAGACAATTCCAAAATGGATGGGGCTGAGGTCTGTACCAATGCTAATCAGCGCATGGCGAAACGACCAACTCACGCATGCTTTAACTGCCACAATCGCAAAGTCAGGGCAATGATCCATCCATTCTGTTGCAGGTGCTCAGAGGAGCTATGAACTTACTGAATGGTCAAAATATCTATACAAAACCAAGTTTAATTGATCCTGTGCTATTCATACAAGTGATCTGGTCGGCATAGAGTGATCGACTGAAGCCATGCATTTCTTGTTCCGTATTAGGAGAATATGCCATGTGTAGATATGTTATCAGCGACCAAGACCGGGACTCACTCGAGAATTCGGAATTCTTCGAAAACTTACAGCAAGAAAAAATCATACTTCAAGCTCAGCTTACAGAAATAGAATGGCTAGCGAAGTTTACCTCCACTAAAGCTACACAGAGGGGTAAGATCAAGACCAGAGCATTATGACATCACGGTAGTTAATCATTGGCTCAATGAATCCACCGAACAGTGTACACTGCGGAGCTTATGGTACTATGCTATCAGCTGCGCCTATTGGATGGCTCACAGCGTCCGACGGTTGGGAATTTTGAACAATGGGCCCAGAACCGTGCAACGAACAGAGAAATGGCGCAGCAGTCCGCCTCGCAAAGGGCGCAGTTCGCGACAAGAGATCGGGCCCTAACTGATACCCGGTCTCGAAAAAGAGTTTTCTTTTGCGGGAAATCACTCAACAGATGCCTTGTAGTGACGCAGGACAAGCGCTAAGTGACGTCCATTTGTTCGAAAAGACCACGCTCCTCCATTGGTAAGCATATAAATACAAGCGATGATATATTTGTCAATATCAGCTACGCTCATTGAACACGTGTTCGCTAGAGCGGTCTGATACTAGCCGAGATTGGTCAAGTATAATCACCTAAAATTGTGATCAACAGATCAGAAACTCCCAAGTTCTCGTGTAACCCTTGCTAGCATGGTCCAGTACCCGGCATTTCCGGGCATGATGGCGCCAATCATGGTTCTAAATGGCACAGAGACCTTGTAAACATGAGGCATTACAACGGCGGACAGCGACAGCCCGAGGTCTCGCAGCAGGAGTGGAGGCGTGTTGCTATGGACAATGAGATAAATCATGCCAGATGCAACAATGACCCTCCAGGCGCCCGCCCAGCAGGCCCATCATATACTGGCCGGAGTATAGGCCGGCTGGGGCCTAGATGCTGCGGTGACCCCAAGTGTCCAGATCCCAGGGTTCTGTTGTCGTAACGGGAAATACTGAAAAAAAAAAAATAAATAAATAAATAAAATAAAAATAAAAAAAAGAATAAAAGAGGAGCAAACGATATTGATACAATGGTAGGTGGGTCAAATGAGGGAATTTATCTTCGGCTCATACTATCGCCCAATGTCGTCTGGCTTTCTATTGTAGGAAGGAGGGACGTCAGCTAGCTAATAACTAACTAGCTAGTTAGTTAATGTAAGCAACGGTTGGGCGGTCCATCCTGCTATCCCATATAGAAGATGTCTTTTTGATATTATTATATCTCAGCGAATACTAGACTTGAGAAGCTCTAACTTACATATACAGTATATATATAAGAGTGAATAACTGATAATCTTTTTCGGATTTTTATAATCCTCCTTCATATGGAATATATTAAACTTTTATCAAAGACAGATAGAATACAGATAATGTAATATAATATACTACTAAATATATTCAAACCGATTTTTAGACAGTATCGAAGAGTTCTTTATATTAATTGTAGTCTGTATATAAAAATTGATTTTGCTCAGACTTCTGATGGTTAAGATATCTTCTGCCTGGAAAAGGATCGTTTGTATAGGATTACCACATGGGCCGCCCAACCGTTGATTATGTTATTGGCATTGGCTGAGTCGGCCCTTTGAGCTGCTTGAGGTTTCAGTGTCGCATCTCTTACGGGCAGGATAGCTATCTAGCCTACAGCGGTGCCGCCACATGTGGCCCCATCTCGCATAGTGCCTTGGAGTCTCATGCTAATGTAGCAGCAGACTAAAAGACTGCGTCGGCTTTGTGCTTTCGACAATGGTTCCTGGCGACCTCCATGGCGGCGTGTCCGCACTGTAGGTGTGGTGCTAAAAGTGATCAAGTACCCACCCAGTCTCGCAGCCAACCGGTCCTGACGGTTGTTTCCTGGCGCCAGGTGCTGCTGGTTCCGCCAGCTACCAGTTCTCCATGGTGAGTTGTCCAGCACTGAAAGGCTAAGTCCATATATATTGAGCAACCCCTATCTCTCTGCCGGGCAGGTGGGATTGCCACCGGTGTGGACCCGCCAGGGCATGGAAGGGTTTTCACAAGGCTAGCGAGGCGGATCTTTGGGAATGTTACATACATGCAGGATGGCACTTCGTCATAAGATATTTTAGACGCCAATTCTACGTGCCCTGCCTAGTGTATGCAGGTAAAACAAGAGGTATGCACCGCACATAAATAGGCCATACCTCCCTCCTTGATCAAGGTCGGGGTGCTTGGCTAAGGATATCTTACAAAGTCGGAATCTCATCGTGGTTCGAAGTTTCTTCCAGAGGTGCTCTAGCACGCTGTTTATACACAACCAGCTCACAACAAGCATCTATACTTGGGTTGTCTCTGATGATCAATAGCGCCGGGTAAGTCAAGATGGTCAACTCAAGCGTTGTCTTACAACCGTCATTTCAGCAAACGCCACTCCGTCTGCTTTGGCTGTTGATAGACCTTGTTTTCACGCTTGACTAATACGCAGTCATTAGCGAAAGGATGCTCTGCCAGTGGAATCGTTGCGGTCAGGTTTTCGATACGGCGCTGGATCTTTGGATCCATATGGAGCAATGTCATATCCCTCCTTCTCGCTATAAATGCTCGTCTTGCAGCATAGTTCTTGGAACGTGCCAGCAGGCATACGTCCATGCCGTCAGTCAGCATGAGGTGTCGCACAAGCATACGACTTATCACGGCGGCGAAAAGAATTTCCTCAACTTTCTAGATGGGTCGGAATCCAAGGTTTTGTGCTCCTTCTTGATCATCTTCTAGGAAGTCAAGGAAGATCGGGCAAATCGCAGTGGTGCACTTGTTTGTTTTCGAGATCGTGAGGTTGCGTTTACTACTCGTGTACCGAAAAGCATACTATATATAAAATCTACACGTGTGACGTTCTGTTGTCTACGTGATTGCCACCATCCAGCACAAACACCATGTGTGCCGCGTCAAATGTCCAGACACGATGGTGAACGTAGAGCTAATCGTCAAGAAAAGGCCAAGTTGGAATTTAATCTGATAGCAAGCGTGAAAACAAGATGTTGGTGCGCCTACTCCCTAGTAGGCAAGGCTGCTTATCGGCATCACGTGACCATATACACTTTGTTTACTTCAGCTCGCGCCCAGCTACTCCGTACGTAGCCTAGATAACGACGATTCAAGCAGCTTTAGCCTCAACTCTCCCCTTCTAATGAACGTTCCTATGGTGTAACATATATTGCTGAGTATGTATATCGGGCCCATTACACTACAATCTAAGTATGACCGCAGAGGCAGCTGGAGCCAAGTGATAAACAAACTAGCTTCGTTGTTAGACTAGACAAGGAGATACGCAAAGCTCGACCACACATACAGAGAAAAACAATTGGAAGACATGGGAGGGCGTCAGACGGCAGAAGAGCAGGTTGGCACGGGGTACTTGTAAATCCGTTTCCGAACACAAATCTAGGGCCGGTAAAAAGCGGGGTGTCGGCCCTACTTTAATCCGACTTCCAGCTACTCAAGGTCAGAAGGGAGAAACCTGGAGCCAGGAGGGAGATGATGACGTGGCCAGGTCATGTGACCACCGCCATCCCCACAGGCCCTGACAGTCCTCGAGGAGACACAGAGTTTGTCAGGAAAGTAATACTGAAGCAAATCCAAGGGGAGTATCCTGAAGCACCATGTCTGCGGGTTTTGACCCGCTGCGAACCAGTGAGGGATAATGAGAACATCCGGCATAGTTCTGACTGACCATTTTGGCTTCGATATCCTGCTTCAGTTCCAGATACATTGTCTCTGTATCGTTTTACTCTAGCCTTGAGAAGAAGGCCTCAATCCCAGATATTGCCAAAGTCAGTTCAACACTAGTCATACTTGGACAGACGGAATAATGAACGGCAAGGGAAAACATATCGCGCGACTTTCGCTTAACCAGAGCTTTGTTTCTCTCAACAATGCTTAAGCGCTCTGTCGAAACACCCCCAATCTGCAGGGCCAATTTCAAATTCTCAATGGAGTATTGTCTGAAGCCAGGGACAAATTAACGGGACCGGTTCTTCATTGCTTGAAAGTGAAGGAGTCGATCGCTCAAACAGGCGGAGGCTAGTACCAGCCTGTGGACACGCGCTTTCGAAGCAGCCTGCCAGGGTCAAGAAAAATTTACCGGGAGAGACGAATCTCTGCAATCAGAGAACATTTTGCCTACTGCATGAATAGGCGTGGATTTTTTTATTAGGCTCTCAGGAATATCCCTACAATGCTTTGGCTGGGGAGTAGAAAAGCGAGAGAGCAGGATAAAGGTGAAGGGCATAGACGCATATCTTATTGCTGCAAATAACACCTGTTGATTTATAGCTTGCCGTACATATCGCCCTGAGGTTGAAACAAGCAACACATCACCCAGAGCAGAATAATGATGAGAATAGATTACTTTAGCTCCAGCACATCTGAGACGCTCCGTGAAAAACAGGCACTTTACAAACATTGGTCTATAGGAAGAGGAACTGAGTGTGCATTGTCCCATACCAGGAACTCGCCTAGAACACAGTGCAACTAAGCCCGGAATTTTCAGACGTATGCACCTTTGGATAGCACTGCTTTCTTAAGATGCTGGACTATCATCTGGTGACGAGGGTTGGGATAACAGAGCGGGTTCTTTCTCAGCGGCGCTGTGGCATGACGCCTCCCTGGACGGAGATTTCATACCTTTTCTATTAAAGTCACAATCCGACAGAACAAGACTCCTCCTAATTAACTGCTCATCATGGTATGGCGCATTCATAAACTCCTTAGTCAAGGCTTCATGAGACTTCAGGTTAAAGTCTTTTTCAGGCCCTGTAGACGGAAACAATCCATCCAACACCACTGAGTCTCTGGCGTAAGGGCAGTGGACAGAGCTAGCGACAGCAGTTTTGTGAGCCAATCTTGCTTTGGATCTAGACGAGCCTACACTTACGTATCGATGGCACCGGGAGGTATAGATCCTGGCGTGGCATGTGCATTCTTCTGGTCAGGTGGATGCGGACACGAATCGATCGATTGATTAGCGTCAGACTCTGTCTCAGCTGACTGGTAATCCTGGTCGAAGAGAAAGTTTGGACTCATGCCTACCAAAGGGGACCACCAGATCAGGCACTCTCCGTCAACCTTTGTTTGATCTAGAACACGGCAGCCGACTAATTTCGTTAGCGGCATTAACATCGCACCATTGTTATACTAACCTGGAACGTCATTGACCCTGGTCACCATTGACCAAGCTCGTTCCAGTGAAAGAACCTCTGCGTATTCAACGGTAATATCCACAGAGATTGTCTCCATTTCTCTATGAATTGGAGAGGAAAATGAGATGTGCAGTCCGAGCTTCTGTTCTCGCATCCGTCAGTATTTATTATCCGAATTTCATGCAACCTTTCACATAGTTTGGCTGGAAGTGGGACAGTGCAAGGACCTATTGTGCCCTTCCTGCAAGGAGACGATATTATACTACACAGGTATGGTGCTCGCAGATTTTCAGGCACAGACTGAATGCCTGTGGCAAATCTCGACTCGTTGAAACAAAGCACTTACGGTATGTAACTTTTGGGGGCTTCAATGCCCTCCCTGATTATTGGTTACTCTATGGCGTATTTGCGTCGTGTTACTCAAACCCTGCTTCCTTGATCTGGATTGTTCGACTGGTCGAGTCTCGGTGATCTTCACCACCACCTCTGTCATTATGCATCTGTTAATCTTCTCAACAAACGCCACAATTGCCATCTGTCAATTATCTCGCAAAATATTATTTTCTTTGCGGACAACACGCCTGTGCACCATTTGACTGTTCACTTATCTTGGACAAAGGATATTTATGGGGTTACATTAAGAAAAGCTAAAAGGATGGAAGGCGCTTATGCGGCCGTTGCAGATCCAGATCGACTCTCCTGGGCCGCCCAGGGTGCCCGACAGATGCAACGAATGTCATTAGAAGATACACCACCGAATTTGCATACGAGAGCCCCTTAACAGGGTTTCTAACAGAGATAGTACGAGAATCGATGATAACCAGAAATGCTTTTCTTGACTTGGACATCCAATCAACATGCTGGAACGATCATCAGAATGTACAACGAAACAGTTAAGGATGCATAGATGCAACAGGCTCAGCGCTAGCTGGCTAGTCGTGCAAGATCAGGACAACGCTGGCAACCTACCACCGAGGGTGAGGGGAGACGTCATGGTGCTTGTAGGCTTTGCTCGGTAGGCCCATTGGCTGTCTATTATAGGAGGACAGCACATAACGCCCCACCGTGCTGAAGCTACTAATCCACCCCAGTTCGTCGGTTCGGCCTCTAAAGGGTAACATAGACGATATGCATACGACTAATGCTGGGTTACTGGGCTAAGGAAGTGTGCTCAATTGGTGGTAGATTGGTAAAAGAAAAATAACAGAAAAAGACAAAGCAAAAGACGAGAAAAAGACAACACAACATCCATTTCGAATGCAGTCAAGGCCGCCCTCACTGCAGAGGTGGGTATTTACTCTCTAGGTCTGGTTGATGCTTTTAAAATCGTACTTGTAGCCTCCAGGCAGCGAATTTCGAAAATAGCACCTCCGGCAACGGAACGGACATGTTGTTGTCCTGTTGAGATTATCAAACGCTGCATTAAGACGCTGCACTATATCGCAGGCAATAGACTCTAGTATATCAAAAACAGTTTAAATATGCTGGATCGTAGTTCTTCTTTAGCCGGAAAGTAAGCCACTCAGGCGCTACGGGCTGGGCATTCCTGCTCTATGCCGGTACATACCATACCGGTTTACCCATCTTTACCGTCAGCGCGAGCGTGGTGGCGCTGAGACCGAGTTCACCGAGGAGGAGCTGGAGACCACCATGAAGAACCAGTCCCCTGGTTCCCCTCAGCTGTCCATCATGTCCTCATGAGCAGGTTTCGTTCTTGGCATGAATCTCATACTTCTCAGCATTCGATCCTGCACATTTGCAATCGGCAACGATCAAGCCCTCATAGTCTGATGAAGGTAATTTCATCGACACCTGCTGGTTTAGAGTTTCCGGGTTTGTTGATTGTGCCCAGCTGGATAATACGCGTACTTCTCATAGTGCCTACCATTTTATGGATGATGCCATACACTAGCGTTTTTCTTTTCTTCTTGGACCACCTTAGGCCGCATGCGTTGCAGGGTTCTTTTCTTCCATCGGATCCAACCCTCCATAGCGGTGATGTACGGGCCGAACATTCCGCACAATTTCCTTCAAGCGGTGCTCATTTTTGTCTCCAAAGTCCTCTTCTGTAAGCAGGTCTCCGCACCGTCGGTACCCTTCTAATTGCTTTGTTCGTATGGTCAACGTCGCGTGGATGCAGCGTCTTCTCAGAGCTCATATTATATTGAACCCTTACCTGAAACGGGATGTGAACAGGGGTCAATCTCCCCTTCTTTGTATCTAGTGCAAGGCGCAGCCTCCAGCGTGCATCAGGCTAGAGCCCTTTCCCGCCGCCATCTTCCCTTTATTCAATTCCATTCCCACCTCCTATCGTCACCCCCTCAATGAGTTACTAGTATCCTGCACTTTCCCTCCTTTCACCCCACCCTCCCTCCTCCCACCATTTCGACAACCGAGCCACAAAAACGGCAGTGAAAACTCGCCTCTTCTACAGTCCACTGGTCATCCATTATCTGCATTGCTCCCACCTCGCCGCAACCCGTCCTTGTACTTCTCATGGCGGGTACCAGACTGAACGGTGGAATCGCCCTTGTGACTGGTGTAAGTCAGCCGTCGCCGTTTTGCTTCCTTCGTATCGAGAACCCACAGAAGCGAAGATTAAATCGAACGTGACTGAGAACTCAATCTGCAGGCCGCATCAGGCATTGGGAAAGATGTCTGCTTCGCTCTCGCCGAAGCCGGCGTCGAAGCAATCCTCCTGGCGGACCTGAACCTTTCTACAGATCTCACTCGCCAGGAGTGTCAAAAGTTCGCCTCCCACTCCAACTTCCGTGCCTTGTCGGTAATGGTAGACGTCACCGATGAGGCCAGCGTCGACAATATGGTCCAGCGCGCCGTGAGCGAGCTCGGGCGTATTGACTACTGCGTGCACTCCGCGGGCATCTCTGGTAACTCGCGCACCCGCACCGCATCCCTGAACATCGACGCATTCGACCGATCCATGAGAACCAACTCCCGCGGGACTCTGCTGGTGCTGCGGGCTGTCTCCCATGCCATGTCGCTGCAAGAGCCACGCTTGCACACCAGCACGCGCAGCAACATGACCCGCAGTCTGGGCCGCGGGTCGATCGTCGTGCTGTCTTCGATCAATGGCCTGATCTCAGTGCCCGGCATGATGCCGTACACGGCATCCAAGCACGCGACCATCGGGATTGCCCAAACCGCCGCCGTCGACAACTTTGAGCATCACATCCGCGTGAACATTGTATGCCCGTCATGGACCGATACGCCCATGATGCAGAAGACAATCAGCAACGTCCCTACTTTGGAGCAGGCAATTGCGAAACTGTGCCCCCTCGGGAGGCTCGCCATGCCAGAGGAGGTATCTGATGCAGTCGCGTTTCTCTGTAGCCCGGCCGCTTCCTTTATCAATGGAGAAAGTCTGGTGATTGATGCAGGCTTCAGCTTGACGGGGTTCCGGATGGGCCACTAAATGCTGCGATTGCAGTCGAGCGGGGTTTCGTAGATACTAGGTGCCATAAAAAGGATCGATCCCATCTTTTTCAAAATCTCTTCCATGAAATGCGAGCATTGATTACTACTGCCTAATACTATGTTCATAGCTTCGCGGGTTTCCCAACGCGGGGGTTGACCGTTGCAGAGGGCCACTGTAATCTCTTTCATGCAAGTGAGACGCTTGCTGGCGCGTTTTGTATTAGAGTAGCGGCAAATGCATTTTTACTGTAGGACTGCATTGGCCATGATCCAATGTCTGTATCTGAGAGACCTCGTCATGGAGTGTGTAATGGACCAAACCAGGGGTGAGCATCTAGGAGTACGATAGGCCGGCGAAGGAAACTAAAAGCGTCGTTATGTGTCACGATCCCTGCATTCCTTTGCAATAATATTTCTTTCCTCATTAAGACATTCGATGAGTTGCACCGCTCTCCCCGAGTTCGATTCACACGCAACTCAAAACACTATTCGTTGATAACCGCGTCACAGCAGAACAATATTCTCGCAATTGCCCAACCGAAGTCTACCGCCAATCTCAATTTCTCGGAGGAAACGGAACTGCCCCTGCTTAGAACATCGATTTAGGGGTGTTTTCTTTTTCTTTTCTTTTTCTGTGTCAAATCCCTCTTCCATGCACAGGGTCTGAGTGAATTCTGGTGGGGTCCCCGACAATTATGAAATGACGAAAGCGAACTTTCTGTGAGCATATCTGCTTTCCATCGTGTCAGGAACACACAAGAGGCGATTGGCTGATATGGATTCTATGGGTAAGGAGAGAGACCCTCTGCGGAATCGACTAGATGACTAGGAATAGAATGGTGTCAATGGCCAGACCAACAAATCCTTTTTCACCTCCAACTCAGCTTTCCCCCCAACCTGCATCTTTTTAAACCTTTTAGCCGCCTTTCCCGCAAATATGATGCCATTGTATCTTGGCCGAAATATAGGCCTACTTGAGCTCAGATTTACAGGGGCACACAATCACTGGACTTCTTACGGCCATCTCTGGCGGTGCTTTTCGCAGAATGTTACCGTACATTTTTCATTCTCTTTACCCCTTATAGACTTCCCGTTTTCTTGTCACTACATACGTACCTTCAGAACTTAAACATATATATAATTATATGTTTTAGAATCGTACTGAGGTTCAAGACATGCTTGGAAATGACCTACAAAGGGGTTAATAATCTGGCTGGGCTGATATATCAAATTGTTTATACAAACATTTCCCTAATTGCATTCATAAACCTGATACATAAAGCAACATTCAAATTCAAACTCTCCTCGCGCATTCCTCGCCAGATCCACAGTCAGCGAAATCTGGTGAAGGTTTACGCTAATGCGATGTGACGGTAAAATACAACTTCAGGGAAACAGGGTACCTCGAATGGGCTAGCCAGTCGGTGAATCGTCCCAACCCACAACTGAATAATATATATAACAAGAGGGAAAAAAAAAAAAAAAAAAAAAAAAAAAAAAAAAAAAAAAAAAGAGGAGGGGAAGAAAAATAGCATACGCCTTCTTGTACAAGTGAGATCCATCCCCTGACTATGCTCACTTGGTGTTGATACTGTGGACAGTAAGATTGGTGTCTTCTCCGTTATACAGCCATATGGTGAAGGGGTACTTCCATGCTCGGAGGTTCTCTAAACAGGGAGAAAGCCTACAATCTAACAATTGAAATATCTCTGCCTCTCCAGCAATATTTCAGGCCGTCATGTAGTAGAGGGAGGCTCATCGAATTTGTTCTAAAACTAGCTACCCTCTTGCAGCATGAGCCATTTTCAGTGAGACTAGGGTTCAACTCTCGGATATCTGAACCCTTCGAGTATGGGCCACTTTTACTGTAGTCATCACTTGAGGCAGCATCAACTGTATCAATCAAAATCTAGAACTCGCTCAGAAGTCCCGGCATCGGGCAGAAAGGCACTGATCGAATTACCCCCAGTACCATTCCAGATGATATGCTTTACGTCAAGACGGATTGTAGTAATTGAGAAACCCTACTCAGATAATGAACCCAACTGATCTGTGATCCGGTTTGCGTAAACAGGGTACTGGCTTCAATGAGTGGTATCAGCATTCAAATAAGCAGGTGAGTGGGAGAACTCATTGTTATATTCAATAGAAATTGTGAGTGACCGGTAAGGGAGCACTGATCAACTGCAAGATTCAACGATCGGGCACAATTCTTACCCAGGGACTAAACACCCAATACAATACCTACTAGATCATACTTGAATTGGCCAGCTATAGGCAATCTAAGTGTACTTGTTCGCTGGGGTTTTCATAATCACTTCACCTTGAACTGTTAGTTACAAGGGTTCCGATTCGTTGTACTCTGGAAGAGAATTGGGTTTCAGAAAATAAAGGTACCCAACTCAATTTTCTACATATAAGAGAAAATATCCCGAAAGAGAAACACTGGCCAGAATATTAAAGCAAGATTATCTAACTAAGCCATTTCTTGTCATTGCTTCATCTTTTTTTTTCCCTTCTCCTTTTCTTTAATGAAAACTACCCACTCCTCTCCATGTGTGTTAGAAGAGAAGCATAAGATCAAATCCGTACTAAACTAGACCAGGCGGTCCATAGACCACTGTGCAAGTAGCTTTGCGTGTCCCCAATCAGATATTGGTAACTCACGCCACTGCTGTACCGGGAAACACCGTAAAAGATGACAAGGACCCTCCCGGGATTGTAAAGTAGCACATCCACCAATTCAGGGCAAGGGAATAAGGGGTTAATGCCATAGACAGGCATGAATGTGGCCCGTATGCGAAGCCGGGCGACGATGACCAGTATTGGTCCAGGGACTAAGAAGTCAAAGGTTCGCTCTCTGGAGGTCGTAACATGTGCCCATAAAACTCAGCTGGAGCTCGAGCGCCTTTTTACGCTCCATCAACGTCTGGCTTTCCTGAAGTCTCCTGAACTGCTGCTGGGAAGTCTGGCTCTGCTCCCGAAGACTGAACACCAGCTGCTGCTGCTATATGCAGCGGGTGCGCTAGGTACTCCAACAGCTGGCGTGGCATATTGTTCTCTTGGCGAAGTAAGTACTTAATTATCCAGGCCATGTAGTCAATGAGAAAGATGGCAGCTTGAACGATATGTTCCTTGGATTCTGGTAGGCCCTTGGAAGGGTTCCAACCGGCTTGCTCCAGGAAGAAATCATGAATGCGACGGTCCAGCTCACGGTGCAGCTGGCTGAGGTTCTTCCGTCGGTTCCCCTCTGCAATTCTGTGCCTTTCCCTTTGGTTACCTAAACCCGCTGGGGCCGTGCTTGCATTGCGCTTCCGCCCGCACGGCTGCTGCAACGGCGGCTTGCGGTTGATGTTCGTGGGGGCGATGAGGTTCAGAATTTGAGGACAGGAAAGCTCTTGCGGCCACATGGACACCTTCTGGAATTGGTCGGATTGCAAGGAACACTCCGCCGAGCGTGCCGATGAACTAATGGCCACAACGCGCCTTTCCACTGCCGACCGTATCGATCTACCTGGGCAGGTGTACTGAGATCTTGAAGCGCTGGAGGCATAGGCGTTGGCACTGAACGGGTCTAGGGGTCCGCGGGGCAAGGGCTCCACGCATGGGAGCGGAGGCAGGCGACGATCCTCGCTCCTGTCTGCCACGAGAGGCCCGCTGGACTGGGAGCTTACACTGTAAGAGACAAAGTATCTCAGAAACTGCATCTGTTGGTAATGTTCAGGGGCCACTCACGGGAGGACACGTCGTCCAGGGATGCCGTCAATTATGGAGCACATGCTTTCGTACATTACGGTGATGAGAGTCCTTGCTGAGTGTAGGATGGGAGACGGGGCGTACTGCAGCTGCAGAGTTATACGTCGGTTGTTTGTCTAGATGCAAGAAGGTGTGTCTCCGATATGTATAATTGCAAGCAGGATGTTTCGGCTTCATGCAACCAAATGCATCACCGAAGCAATGACAGGATTCAGCCTAATGGCCACAAAGACGCTGATGGAATCAGGTGGAAGGCACGGTAATTTTAAGAGAATCTGACGGTGGTCTCACCCTCTATATATCTCTTGATGTTTCTAGCTTTACTATTTCATATTTCTTATTCTTGTGACTTTCCCCTTTTGTATGTTTACGTCCTCGCTTTATCTACATAGTACCTCTAGCCGTCGCCTTACCTCTAACTTTGACCTTCTGCGCCGCTACCTCTTCTGGCTGTCACCTCCAACATCGTTCCTCCCGATTGAGAACATACCAGGGTGCATAGAGGGGCTTTCAGCATAGTTCAACCGTTCATTCAATAGTACTCTGCCTCCAAACCCCATCACAGTGGGGCCGGCTATCTGAGATGGGGAACAGTCGCGGGGCGAGTACTGGATCGACGAATCAAAGTACCATGATCTCGCGAGAGAGTCAGATGCGGGATCACAGCCACTTAACTTGTCACTGCCGCAGTGGTTCGTGATCTACATGGGGTAATGGATATCCACCCTCCTTGCATCTCGAATATCAATAGTCCGCCCGGGTTAATGGCCAAGGGCAACCACTCATTTCACACCTCGGATTTTGGTCAAGGCGTCAATGTATCTACGAACCCAGGGGCATCGAGGTCTTAATGTCACCGGCCGATGTAAAGATTGATGCAGGGTATAGGAAAGCAGATCCTAACCCCGGGAGGATAAGACGGAACCTAATAGCACAAAGCAAGGATATCTCAGTAGGAAGCCGATAGCCCTTACCACTTGGGGAGGATCTGTGGAGAAAAAAAGAACAGATGCATTTGTCACAAGTCATCAGACTGCTGGCCTATAGTTACTGGTCAAAAATGAGATGGCTCCTGAGTGCATACAGCAGAATTATTGCATCCTTGACTATGCCGTGGTGTCACACAGTGCTCATGCCCATACAACACATCCGTTTCTGAAAAGATCACCTTCGCACATGTCAGCGCAAACAAGGCCAGTCAAACTAACCAGCAGACGCTATCCAGGCTCTCGTTTCTTGGGTGTGTTGAGAGGCCTGGAAATTGCACAAGGTAAGCGCGAAATTACTTTCACGATCACTACGGTCATTGCGCAATGGATCTATCAGGTAGACATTAATTCGTCTCCCGACTAAGTCCATACAAAGTTGGTCCTGCATTTGGTGGACGTGGATGGAATAGCTGTGGGTTGGAGAATGCTTACGTAGGATGTCGATCTTCCTGGCGAGATGCGCTACGGCCAGGCTGACCCCCTGCCCCTTGGCATCAGCTAATGTCACAATAGTAATCGTGTACGCCTGTCATAAAAAAGTAAGATCTACCCATACAGTAATATTTCCTGTACTAGGTGGGCCTGACTACACAGTGAACATCGTATTGCAGCTAGAGAAACCACCGCTAATCAGCATGGCTCTGACATGGGGATGCACATAACATACAGTTTCCATACGGTGCCTACAAACCTTGACTGCGCTCATGAAGCTTACAGAACCAATTTGGAGTGTAGAGCGTGGGGAAAGCACTAAAAATTCTAAAAAGGATAGTGCGTCCATAGCTCCTCCCGCTTGAGGAGGGAGTATGTAGCACAACTTATTGTCTTCCAAGGGGAAGTCGCGTGACCCTACTGATGGGCAGTTGGCCTTTCATTTGCAAAACGAGGAATGGGGAAACATATTTCAGTATCTGCAAGATAGGCGAATGGCCATGAGTTTTATGGCTGCGGTGCAATCTGATGGACACGTTCTGGCCGCGACCCAAGTTGAAGAAGAGAATGCCTCGTAGACCGGATTCTGGCTAGCGGATGGACGGAAGATGGATGTAGTACTGTATGCCTTCAAGTGAGCTTGAGTCAGAGTCCGCGTCTTCAGATGACGAGACTTAAGCTAAACTCTGAATCTTAAATGTCAATAACATGGAAGAGTACAGTACAACTTTACAGGAGACTTGGACACAGCAGAGAGTGTAAATGAGTGTGCTAAATCCGCTGCCCGGGCAATCCGACGAGCTGGTCACTCTTTACCGCGAGCACGACGGTGTGTGGTTTGCACGGAACTAACCGATTCGTGGACGTGGTTCACGCTCCCTGTCGGCACGTGTATTGTCGATCCTGTTTGGCAGCCCTCTTCGAGTCTTCAATGACAGACGAGTCCCTCTTTCTTCCGCGATGCTGTCGACAACTCATAAGTCTGACCACTGCTCGCATATTCTTGAAGTCTGCTTTGGTACGGCAGTATTAGAAAAAGAAGGTTGAATACAGTACAGTAGAGCTGTGCAAGCAAGTGCTAGGGCCCGAGCACCCTGGTACTCTTATCAGTATGAATAATCTGGCATCGACCTACCAGAATCAGGGACGATTGAAGAAAGCGGAAGACCTGGAAGTACAAGTAATGCAAGTACGCAAGTGAGTGCTAGGACTAGAGTACCCTGGTACTCTTACAAGCATGGCCAATCTGGCATCGACCTACAAGAAACAGGGACGATTGAAGGAAGTAGAAGAGCTGGAAGTACAAGTATTAGAGCTTCGCAAGCAAGTACTATAGTCTGAGTATCCTGATACTCTTACCAGCATGAGCAACCTAGCCTTTTCATGGAAAGGCCAGGGAAAGGTTCCAAATTCTCTGGCTCTGATACATAAAACAGTGTGCAGAGCTCCGCCGCAACCTGCTGGGTCCAGATCACTCAGATACCATATCCTCTTCTGATACTCTCAGTGACTGGGAGACAGCGGTAGATTCCCCGATATGGTATAGCTGAGAAAGCATACTTGCGTTTTCTTTCCTTGCCTTTCCTTGTCTCTACTTTTTTCAAAGACCTCCCTTAAATGGAGGGTCTGGGATGGCTGATGTTAATATAGAAGTTGTCTTCAATAATAGATAGTGGTCGATCATTCTAGCAGAGTCATCACCCTGAGTAATATGAATACGTTATAGAAGTATTTTTGACGTCGTGTCGAGAGGCAAATGATACCACCGTTCGTTATGACTCTGTAACACACTTACCGTTATTGGTTAGCATGCGGATTTCAATCTTGGCAGTGGGGCCTCGAGAAAAGAAAACAGTAACACAGGCGGAAGGGGATTCTGAATCTCACGGTAAGGTAGCAACCGCACAGGAGAATGGCTGGCAACGTTGCTTTTCATGCTGGCGAATGGTGGAATTAGATCATGGTTGCAACCATATGACATTCGACGCCTTGTTCCCTTTTTGCCCAACCTCTACATCCCTTTTATATTTGTTGTTGCTGTTGTGATTTGAGTTGTCTTCCCTAAGACTCCAAATCTGACGGAATTCGATAATAGCTGTCGCTGCGGGGCCGAATTCTGCTACAATTGCGGAATGGAGGGGAAGAATTGCCAGTGTGAGCAATGGAACGAGCATGGTCTCCTTGCACGTGCATATCAAATCATTGATCGAGAAGCAAACCAGCCGGCAGCTGCGACGCCCCGGCAAGACGCCGACGAGGCCATTCTGGAGGGTCAGCTCGTACCGGAGGCTCACGAGCCTCGCTTTCAAACTCAGGGGGTGCAAGCTGAAGACGCAATTGTGGCAGACGAGGAATCATCTGCAACTGTAGAAGCTCCTCCTTTCCCCACTGCTCGGACAGCACGAGAATCTTTGGTTGCAAGAACTGTCCAAGAGCTCAGAGACAATCATGACTGCGGGCATAGCAAATGGAAATACTTACGTGGGCCTCATCGATGTGAATGGTGCTTTCATCATTTGCGGGAGTATATATTCGAGTGTCGTCAATGCCGGATTCAAGCGTGCAACCGGTGCAGAAGGAACAGACTCTCACCGAAGTGAATATAAAAACGGGTTTCAAAAGTAAAAGATATTTAACTAACAAAATATGTTGAAAGGTGCCAAGAACGTTTTTTGGATATAACTGTATACAGACTAGTTGCGAGAATGCTAGGGTTTGAAAGAGTTGGGGAGAG